TAACTATCCGAAATAAAGCTCATGCCAATGGCCTAAGTGGTCACCTTTAATATTAAAAAAAAAAAAAAAAAAAAAATCTCAGGAAGATATTGAAGAGTGGGCGCATTACGATGATGATAGTATTAATGAAATGGTTGAAGAATCTGGTTCATCATCTATGATTGAAGAAAATATAACACAGTTAGTTGCGGATAGTAAGTCAAATTATAATTTATAAATTTTTAAAAAAACCTAATGTCCAAAAAATAATAAGAATTCTAATCGTCGTATTTAGATGTTAGCTCTGAAGATGTTGAGGGTGCAACTTTTGATGACGCCCTAAATAGTATCGAAAGAAAAAATCAACCACGTGCTTTGGCAAAGTGGCCTAATGAAGCATACCAAGATTTTATGGAACTAGTAATAGAAGGCAACATTTCCAATATAATCGGTGATAAAATAATTAAATTCTTTAACAAGCATAGTAATTTGGAAAAATCACCATTGCCAAAATCTACGAAAAGCGGCAAAGACTATCTTAATCAAATAAAGTCACCTTCAATAGATTTTAAAGAAAAAGTGATTGCGAACTACTCTGGGGTCAATTTTATACTTTATTATCGCCCAATTTTTCATGCAATTCAATTACTTCTTGAAAGGCCAAGAATATCAGAAAACTTTGTTTGCCGAAGAGTTTTGAATAAAAAGAAGGTATTTTTTGCTTTTATTTTTTTTCTTTTAATACCATCTTACTATTGTTCATAAATAATCTAATACGCATAAGGGAGGGTCAGGTATTATGATACACTTACATCTTTGCGATACACCGATTACTTAAACAATTTTAGTACCATTCATTCGTATGAAATCGAATGATACAAAAATTAATCAATTCTGACCATGACTTGATGAAAAGTTAGTATTGTAGTGTAGTTATTAGCTATTCCTTTGAGCAATTTTTAGGATTTTTTTTTTTGTTTGTCAATAGAATTAAGTCGAATATTAGTTTATTTGAATAAATTTTAGGAATAAATACTTTTTATGAATACTTACTATTAGCATTCTAAGGTATACCATAATACCCAATCTTCCCTTATTATTATTCACGATTATTGTATTAAAATTAGAATTATCGTTATTCTGGGCCCAATGTTATGAGTGAAACTTCATTTTTTCTAATACAAATAGCAAGGTTGAATTTGGTTAGGGCTAATCTAATTTTTAACCACTCTATCAAATTATGCATACCGTTGCTTAAAATTTATAATTGAGTCGGGCTTAACCTAGAGTGATGCTAGAATATGTTGTTCTATTGACAACCCCTCTAGCGGCCCAGAATATTTATTATTAAAACCTAATTGTTAAAAATTTAATAAATTCGGTAAATTTGTTTTTAAAAATTTATTCTTTGTAGGATAATGATATTGAAGTAAGAATGTTTGGAGAACAGTACGAATGCGACTGGTGGCATGAAACAGAAAAAAAACTCCCTCCATTGAATTGCTTGTTATCAATTATTTTGTATTCTGATGCAACTACCTTTGATAGCCTTGGTAAAACTTCAGGGCATCCAGTTTTTTTAACTCTTGGAAATATTCCAACTTGGCTTCGAAATTCTGCAGATTCGAAAGTTCTTTTAGGATTTTTACCAAAAGTTCAAGGTAACATGATTAAAACTACTGATGCCTTTTGAATTTTTCAACATGAGACATATCAAAGGTGCTTGAAAACTATGCTTGATTCTTTGCTAAAAAGACCAGATGAATTATATTTTGGTATTCAAGGGCGGGCAGTAAGATTTGCAGCACGTATTTCAGTCTTTATTGCGGACATGCTCGAAGCCGATGAAATAACTGTGACATATAAGACAGCCAATAGTAAAATGCCATGTCACAGTTGTCTGGTTCAGCAAAGTGATTTAAATCATATGAACCTTAATTCAAAGGAAATTGCTCCCAGAACTCCAAAAAATATGCAGCAAATCCTTAGTAACAACTTAGGAAAGCAATATTCTGTGTATAATGTAGAAAATGCCTTCTGGGAATTTCCGTAAGTTTTTTTTTTTTTTTTTTTTTTTTTTTTTTAACCTTTCCAAAAAAACTTATTAAAATGTAATTCTGAAGAAATTTAAATATATATGAAGCATGTGTTCCTGACCGCATGCACCATATCGATCTTGGCCTGTTCAAATACCAACTTAATTTTACACAAGAAATTTTGAAAAAAGTCAGTGGAGTGGAATTGCAAAGAAATTTTGATGATCGTCTCCGTCACATTCCTCGTTTTCCTGGGTTGAAATTATATAGTAAACTAGGACAATTAAAAATAATGACTGCTGCGGACTATCAGAATCTAATGAAGGTTGTGCTTTTTGCTCTTGATGACATTTTTGATCAGTGGAATTAAATAACTTGCAATGATCTTTGCGAGTTATATGCTAAATTTAGTAATATGTACATAATGAGCCGACAAGAGTCATATTCTGAAACTGATCTGAACAATTTTGAGGTATCTGTAATATGCATTTCTTCAATTTAAACTAAAAATTTCTCACATACAGTAAATATATATATATTTGACTATAGGCCTTAATTATCAACTGGTGTAATGAATTTAAAAGAATTTTTTCACCTTTATCTAGCACAGAGTGTAGATTTCCCAAACTCCATAGTTGGCGTTATCATGTAATCCCAACAATTCGCAAATATGGAGCTTTAAATGGCTTATCAATGGAAACTCATAAAACGCTTCATAAGACATATGTGAAAAACCCATTCAGAGCTTCAAATAGAAAAAATATTATGAATCAATTAATAAATGCAGTAAGAAACTACAAATCCTAGATGTCTTAATTTTTAATAATTGCATAGTATGTAACTACATAATGGCTATATATTTACTATTAAATTTAATACATAGTAATTATGTACAGTATATAGTTACTAGGGATGTTAAATGATCTGTCCGAACTTACCCGACTCCAGAAGTCGAGTCAGTATCAGACTCAGACTTGAGGTTTTAGTCATGTGAAGTTGTATAAAAATCAAATTTAATGCAATGTAAAAACCAACTAAACTAAGCTGTTTAACATCCCTAATAGTTACTATACAGTTACTAAAAATTAGGTCTTTGTAATGTAAAAATCGTTTTGAAATATTATTGTTTTCATAATAAATGTTATGATTATACTTAAAGGTGAAGCGTAATGAATTGGCTCCAACCGTAAGCAAAGTTATCTGTCGTAAGACCAAAGGATTTGGGAAGGTACTGTATGAATTGAAGCTGGATGCCATTGAAACTAGAGTGAACTCCCTAAAAAGCTCAAATCAGACGCACCCGAATTTCATTGAAGGGTTATCTCAACTAATTCCAGCATTAAACGCTTTCCTGGATATGTCTTCACAAGATTCAGTAAGTGAAAACTTTTTTATAAAAATTTATGATTCAGTTCATTTGGAAAGTGGAGAAATCCTGAGGGCATCTGATAGCTTTCAAAACAAAGAGTGGTTCAGCAATGTTGCCGTATCAGCAGCAGAAGACCAAGTTCAGTATGAGTCAGACGATGGTATTTGGTATGGGAAGGTATTAATTTTTTTAAGATTCTTTTGGGGGTCAGCAAAGGATCCATTTGACCTTGCAATGGTTCGTTGGTATGACATTGAGCCAAGTGAGCCAGAGCTGTATGGTTGCCCACAGCTATTTTATACAAATGATTATGATATTATCCCAATAGGTTCCATTTACAAAGAGGCACATATTGTACCAAGATTTGATAAAGAAAATCGATTTTTACTTAATAAATATATGTTTTAAATCTCGTTCTAAATATTTTTAAACGTCTTTGGAAGTTTGAGTAACATCGTAATTTTTATATAGCGATAGTAATTATATGATCATTGTGTAATGCATACTGTGCTACCTATGAAAACTTGTACTACATAGGAAAATTTACTAAAATTGGATTAAATTTAAAGCCTTCCTTTATTTAGAAGACAAATACTATTTCTATATATTGCTAAGGGCATAATAAATTTGCTGATGTACGTATCTAAATTTTACCCTGCTTCATTGTATTTCTCAAACATTCTCCAAGACAAAACATTATTAAAAAAAAAAAAAAAAAAAACTTTAAACAAGCACCAAATTTAAATAACTATCCAAAAATGTAAAAAAAATTTACTATTTATTAAAATTATTACAGTAAAATCCATAATCGCACAATCTTAAGACAAAACTTTAACAACACGCATTTAGAGAACAATAAAAAAAGTGTATTTATAGAGATCATATATATATTTGGGCCAGAATTTGAGTGTGCCTCTAGAAAGGGTGTGCAATAATAGAGAGTGCACTGTATAATAATATTCGGATATAAACCAAATATACGCATCAAAATCTCAGAATATAACTTAGAAGTCGTTATAGGGTAATTTACACTGTTCTTGTAAGATTCTCACTAATTTTCAATTCCTTCCGGTATTTAATTCACGATGGATAATTTCTATGTTTATCAACGTGTGCGCGACGAATGTCTTATCTCTCCACTTATCCAAGCGTTTGAAAGTACGCTATGTCGAGGTGAAGTTGTTTTGATAATCTCAGATAAATCTAATTAGGCTTGTTAACTTAATGCTGTTGATCATGTTTAATTTTAGTGAATATTTGTTTCAATTTCGGATAAAATTCTATGTGAATTTACGAATAGTGTCTACTATTAAGTATCCTTTTTTTATTTTTATCGCACAAGTCTTTAGCCATAAATACATCTTTAGTTGGCTCAATTCAACTATTTTTTCTATGTCTATAACTATGATTTTGATTATTTTCCTGGTGAGTTCGATATTTCTAAATTTTTCTAACAGTTTACTCAAAAAATCTTCTACAAATATCTTCTACATAGGGTTCATTAGCCCTAGGAACTACAATTGGATCATGTTTTGAAATAAACGAACGAATTAGGTTGGTTAGATTTGATGTTACGTTGCTAAGGATTCTTCGGATTACTTTTTCTTGGCGTTTTCAGTGAAGTGTATGTAGTTTAATTTTCTATTTTCTTTACATCTCTCTTTAATTATGTGAATCACTAATAATCACTGACACTTACTATATTGTGTGGTCATGAAATTCTCATCGGTAAGTAGCTCTACAATTACTTAATACAAATAAAGTATTGGATTTGTTATTTAATGATTTACTTAATTAAGGAAGTGGTTAATTTACGATTATCTCATTCATTTAGATACACTATTTGGTTTTACCTTTAATGTTTAAATATAGAACAGATATATATTCATTTAATGAGTTACTGCATGATTGCTTAACGCAAAAATTTTTTTTTATGGTTTATTGTTTGGTGTTTAAGTAGCTGCGCAACACAATTGCGAAATCAGGAACGGAAAATACTGTATATGATATTTCTGAGTTGTGTCAGGCTTTAGGTGCCAACATAATGCCATAACTTGTGTAATTATAATGGCATTTTTGCCCGTAATTTATTATATCATAATTACAATTTATGGTATATGAGGCAAGGAGATTTAACTTATTATCGCAATAATGTTTCATAGAACACACAATGTCTAATTGAAAAATCATGATTCTCGATCAGAGTTCTTTTTTACACCATTTAACAGCATCTTAAACTTACGCATAGTAACGATATGTAAAAAAAAAGAAAGCGAAGACTAATTATTGTCAATTGTCAAGACAATTTTAAATACTAATGTTAAAAAAAATTGAACGTTACCGTAAAGTGCCATGCTGTAGATCCTCCTACGAGTGGGTATTCTGCGAATAAAATTCGATTTATATCTGGATACTATCCATATTGTATCTCAAAGAATAGCATCTTTATACTTTAAAGAATATTTAACTGGTGTAAAACATTGAAGACTGGAAAAGATGAATGAGAAATCTATACCAGGTATATCTCTAGTCTTTGTAAATACCCGGATACATCAGTTGACACTTT